ACGATGGGTCAGCAAGTTTTGTGTTATTTTAATATTTTTTTTCCTTTTCAAATAGAAAGGTTTCACAACTATACGATGAAAGAAAGTGTCGTATTTTTGTTGTGCCACTTGTGTTTGATTGAAAAGCAATTATGGACACGATTTACTGTTGGATACTTCTAGCATTCTTCTAAACCAAAATATGACCGAATAACTTAAAAAATAAAATGCCAAAAGAGAGAACAAAAAAAAAAGGGGGAGGGGCAATTTTGGCCTAAGAGAACAAGCAAAACGAAATGACATGCTGTATTTCACCTACCTAATTAGAATTTAGGTTTTGCTAAAGATTGTCCAACCATTTAGGTTATTTATATCTACTTCTTTCTGGCATGTACTAATTTTTAGGATTCACACCAGTAATGTAGTTTGCTTCTTGTTGTAATATTAATTGTATCAATTTCCCCTCAAATTTTTCACATTGTGTCAATGTTGTCCAATTGATAACCCCCTTCTAAAAATTGAAATGAAATCAATGCACAAAATAGTCCACTCACTCTCCTCAAAATGATTGAGGGGTTGGTGCCCAATTTGAAATGGTTCATTCCCTTTTGAATGGACCATTTTACCCTTGACTTTTGTTCAATTTCTTAACCGGTATTATCAATTGGATTAAATTAACACAATGTGAAAATATTTAAGAGTGTAAAATTGATACAATTAGAACTACTTTTTTTACTCGAGCTGCTTTTGTGATTTTGTGCTCTCGATTTTATCTTATTTATTTATTTTTGACTTTTCACGGTTATATATGTATATGTGTAGTCATAGATGTGTTAGTTCTAATGTTTTTGTGCAATAAAGATTCATATTGCTGTTATTGGCCTAGAATTCAAGTGGGTTTTGCATGTTTTTGAAGATAGTTGTACGATTTTGTAGTAATTTTATTTTTAATTTTATTTTTGGTAATTTTTGTCCGTAGATTCTATATATATGTTTTGCAGACGTTCGAAGCCATAAAAATGTGTTGTTTTTTTGTAATTACTAAACTTAAATTATATACATGTGGGTAAAATCTTCATTTATTTTTTTGTTGTGTTTTGTTCAATTGAGATTTCTAAAGGGTATAGAACTTTCAGTCTTCAAGACTTATTTTGATATGATCATGTAACCAGGTTAGTTTCATTCTCAGTCGGTGGTTTGGAAATGGAACACAACATTTACTTCATTGAATTAAGGTTGAGAACTGAGATTTTATCTATCAATAAGAGAAAGTGATAGTTTTTTACTCGTTGACTTATATTCAAATTGGTGATTTGGATGCATGATATCTATATTATGTCACTATGAATTGACTATCAAACTTTGAGCACATGCATGACTTCTTGGGATACAATTATGTTTACGTGTACCCATTTCCCTCTTCAGATAACATTTATTTGACATCCCACTTTCTTATACGTCAAGAAGGCCTTATATACAATTTGGGAACTATCTTTTTTTTATTTTTTACAATTAAGCACAATGGCCTATAGGCATAACAATTTGGCCATGTAGACATTACATAAAATTGTACCTCCATTTGATAACATTTTTCTAATTCTGCGACACTCAAAATTCATTCCTCTATTTGTTTCTTCACACTTTGATTATATTGGCATAGTCCTAGCCAACGTCTCAAACCCTATAATACCTATAGTTTTGTACCCCATGTTTATGAATAATTTTCCAAAAGTTATGTGCCACTTAGTGTTGCCTAACTTTTAAATCATTGGGTTCATTTCCATTATCTCTCATTGCTTCACACTATTCATCATTGAACATTAGGTTCCATATATATGTGATAATTAAAACATAGGTAGCACTATGAACAAAGGTTAGTCTCAATTATATGATGTGTTTTGATGTGTTTTGGGACATGTTGATTGAACCTCACTTCCCATATGTTCAGGGATGGTATCTCCTTTTTAGAACAAATGGCATCTTGTAAAATCGAAAACAAAAGAAATTTTTGAGAAAGGAAAAAAAGAGAAAAAAAAATGTAGTACAACACAAGCTTACAGATTATAATACATGTAGCTAAGGTATAATGCATGTAGCTTTCCCCTTTTTTTTTTGATCAAGTTAAGTTCTGCCTCAAGGGTTGAGCTGTCGTTGTTCCTCTATTGTGTATAATCTGATTTGTCCCTTTGTTGGGTGTGGTTTCTGCTGGTGTGGCTGCTGATGTAGCAGTTGCTTTGTGTAGCTATTGCTGCTTTATTCCCCTATGTTGTTCTGCTGTTTATTGTATGGCTATCTCATGCCCCTCCTTGAAGTACACAGTGTGTGACATTATTTATAAGCTACAATAAATTAAACTCTGCATATAGGGTGTGGCTGCTGCTGGTTTGTATATTGGGTGTGGCTTGTTTGTTGTGTGGCCACAACCCATAAAACAGAGCCAGAAAAAAATAGCAGCAACAAGCTGCAGCCTCCAAGATCAGCAACATTGCACCAACAGCAGCCTAGTTACAGCCACATACTTGCAACAACATTGCAGCAACAGAAGCCACCAAGGACAGCCACACTGCTCCAGCAGCAACCTAGCTTCAACTAGCAAACCAGCAAACACCAGCTAGCAGCAGCAGCACATTGTGCTTTGTTCCTATTTTTATTCTTTCTTCTTTCTTCTTTCATGTCTATGGATGTAATCTCATATGAAATGTATATTTTTTTCATCAATAAAGATTTTTTTGCTGATGTTGCTTTAATTGATATTTATGATTCCATGCCATGCCATGCCATGCCATTGATTTAATTGATATTTATTTTTGCTTCAATCCAAGTTTCCAATCTATGCGCATGACACTAAACTGACGAAATTAAAAACATGCTTTTGGCGCTTAGGTTGGGAGTACTTGATTCAATTGTTGTCTAGAAGTAGAAATACAATCATTTATTTAGTGTTATTTGGCATTCATTTTCAGGCCCATAACTCTTCATTAATTTCATGTATAATGCGATTTTAATTTAAACTTTGATCTACAATTGCCAAGGTTATAGGTTATAGGTTATCGGTTAATGTAGAGAGATAAAAAAGCTGCACTCGTTCGTTGGGGGCAATTACTACATCAGGTAATCTTTGAGTATTTGTTAAGCCATTGTTAATTAATTTACAGAATTTTGACACTTTTTTTATTAAATTTGTAGCTATTAGAGGATTCACTTATTGTATTCTTAGTTTCATTTTACTACTGTGAGCTTTCATGATATGACAAACAATTATGATCCAAGGAACTATTTGATATATAAAAAAGATAAGACCAAATATGCTAATTAAAGGGTGGTTGCAGTAGTTAAAAAAAAATAAACCATGTAGCCAACTAGGACAAGCCTAGTTTGGTTTTAGTGCAACACAAGGTTTAGTTTAGTTTGATTTAAATATCCATCACAATTTAACTGTATTATGCAACATGCAATGCACCATCACATATATGTAACACCATTGACACACACAAGTGGGACAAGTACATAGTTTGGATTTAAATTTTATATCCTTATTATATAGTTAAAATCACACGCTATCCTGTACTGTTACACAAAAACATCAATTTTCCTATCTCTATTAAACTTTGTGTTCTAGAGTAGCTACAAATTATATTTCTTTCTATCTCTTCTAAAATTTTATTTTAATGGAACTTACAAAAGTTCATAACACTTGTGAGATAATTAGAATTTATCCAAATTCTAAGATACAACATTATGAAACATAATGTCCCTAGACTGTAACTTTTAATGTGGGATGTGAATATGGTTAATGACACCTAATCATTCTAGTATATAAACTTCACTTGGTGTGTATCTATTCGAAGAATGCTAGTATTACATCTGTGCATATTTTTCTTTATTAACTAGTGCTTGCAATATGTAAATGACAAAATACACCATACGAAAAATGCAACAGGTTGAAACTTGGTACAGACCACGCACAGGTCACCAAAAACTAAAATATCTATTAATGCAAGGACATTTAAATTAATAAGGCTGTTTGCATCTCTATCTTATTTCAGGTAATTCTTTCGGTAGTATTGACTGCTGCTGGGGTTATGATTGCAGCGCTGGGAGATTTTTCTTTTGACCTTGTTGGATATAGCATGGCCTTTACTTCTGTTTTCTTCCAGGTTTGGTCTTGGGCTTTTCTTATTGAAATTTGTGAATAACAAGTGCTCATAAAATCATTTTGGAGCCTTGTTGCTTGAGCTTGTGATATGCTTGCATATGCAGACCATGTACCTTGTGTTGGTGGAGAAGTCTGGTGCAGAGGACGGACTTTCATCAGTCGAGATCATGTTCTATAACAGCTTTTTGTCTTTACCATTTCTGGTATTTCTTATCATAGCTACAGGAGAGTTTCCAGATTCTTTGTCATTGTTATTTGCAAAGGTCAGGATCTTAACCTATGTTCACTATGTTTTAATACTGTTCTTGAATGTGTTGGAAAGCAGAAATCTTTGTTTTTAATGCTTAGGCAAGGAATACACAATGCTTCAATAAATTGTGAATGCTTGAAACTGTTTTCTTGTAATTAAAGCAATGAAATTGAAAAATTGGAAGGCATGTTTTATTTTTTTTTCCCTTTTGTTTATTTATTTTTATTTTTTGACAACTCCACTAGTACCTGTCACATGCTAGTAAAATTCTATAGACAAATTTTAGATTAGCCATATATTTATACATTCTAGCGAAGCTATATACATACCTTGACAGCTGCACATTAGCTTATGTAATTTTAGTTATAGTATGCATTTGAGATTCTACTCTTATGTGCTATATTGACAGGAAGTTCCTTAGCTTTCAGGTTGATAACTTGGAATTTCTGAGGGAAATGAGGATCAACCCAATAAAGGTTGGTTTTTTTAATTTGGCAATAGATTACACTAGTAGTTCTATTATACATATTATAGTTCCCGCAATCCCTCTTGTTTCACTTGTTTTTGTTCTGATAACCAGAATTTTGGTTATATTTTCTAGTCTTTCTTATGTTCATCTGACATAGAATAATTATGTGTGTGCTTGCTTACACATGCACATGCGCTCCAAAAATTAACCCCATGAATCTGGAAGGACTTCTGCTCTCACCTTTATAGTGAAATAATTCATCTTTGTTGCTTGTGACATTTTGGTTGGCATCAATTATAGGTTGCCAAAGCATTAGTGGAAGTGTTTGCTGAAATGATTTTGATGAATATGGGTGCAAGGTGTTATGCCAGTTCATTGATAGAGTGGAGAAACACCCGAGCAAGAAAATTGATGAGAAGATTGGCCAGTTCTGGATTGTATTTTTTTCATAACAGAACTTTTTTCAAGTTTTTAGTTGTAATAACTTTTACATGTAGCTCAAATTTTGAGACTCAAATAGAATGTTCAATAAAACTATAATGCTATACTGTCTGAATTCTTGTCATTGTTATACCTAGAGTGCTTAACGCTACACTTTCATTTATTTATTTTTATTTTTATTTTTAATTTTTTGCGACGGTAGCAAGATGGTCGCCAAAGATCATGTT